AACCAAACCTGACTTCTTTTTATTTTTTCCTCCATTAATGCCTCTTCTGATTTGTGAATTAAATCCAGGCTTCTTAACACCATTAGTTTTCCCACTCTGATTTATATATTAAACTTAGAGCTCAGTTATAGATTTTAGCATTAATGTTCCCAGTTTTTGACATTGAATCTGGCAGCTACTATTTTTTTTTAATTTTTTTAGGATTTTGCTCTGTCACCCAGGCTGAAGTGCAGTGGCACAATCAATCATAGCCCACTGCAGCCTTGAACTCCTAGGCTCAAGTGATCCTCCTGCCTCAGCTTCTGGAGTAGCTGAGACTACAGGCAGGTACCACCGTCCTCGGCTAATTTTTTACTTTTTTATTTGTAGAGATGGGTTCTTGGTATGTTGCCCAAGTTGTTCTTGAACTCCTGGGCTCAAGTGATCCTCCTGCTTCAGCCTCCCAGAGTGCTGGGATTACAGGTGTGAGCCACGGCACCCGGCCCTGTTAAGTCTTTAATCATCAATGACCCTCAGTTTTTGATTTTGTTGTTGTTTGTTTTTGAGACGGAGTCTCGCTCTGTCGCCTAGGCTGGAGTGCAGTGGCGTGATCTCGGCTCACTGCAACCTCTGCCTCCCGGGTTCAAGCGATTCTCCTGCCTCAGCCTCTGGAGTAGCTGGGACTACAGGCAGGTGCTACCACACCCAGCTAATTTTTGTATTTTTAGTAGAGATGGGGTTTCACCACGTTGGCCAGGCTGGTCTCGAACCCCTGATATCAGGCGATCGGCCTCCCAAAGTGTTGGGATTACAGATGTGAGCCACTGCACGCGGTGGACCCTCAGTTTCAACCTCAAACCCAGGACTCTGTTAAGTACTCCATCATTAATGTGTCTATATTCTAGATTTTAAACCTGGGCCTCTGTTAACAATTTTTTTTTTTTTTAACCACTAATGCTTCAGTGCTCCTGGGGCTTTGATCCAGGGTTCAGGGTCTCTGTTGAGATTCCATCAATTTCCTTGTTTTAACTTTGAATCCAGGCCTTTGAAGCAATTCTGACATAACACCCTGGACCCCTCACTTATGCCCATCTTACATGAATTCAAATCTGATTCAAACCATTGATAGTTTTCTCTTGTTAATACCCTATGCTTCAATTAAATCTTCCACCCCCATTGGTCCTCTGGTTTGACTTAAACATTGGGTGTTGTGGTAGACAGATTAATAGTCCCCTAAAGATCTCCCTCTCCCAACCCTTAGAACCTATGACTATGTTACCTTACATAGCAAAAGGAACTTTGCAGATGTTATTAAGGATTTTAAGATGAGATTTTCCTGGATTACCTAGATGGGCCCAATGTAATCAAGGGTCCTTATAAGAGGGAGGGAGTGCTTTGGGAGGCTGAGTTGGGAGGATTTCTTGAGGCTAGGAGTTGGGGTCCAGCCTCGGCAACGTGGCAAGACCCTATCCCTACAAAAAGTTAAAAAATCAGCCAGGCATGGTGGTGTGTGCTTGTAGTCCTAGCTACTCTAGAGGTGGAGGTGAGAGGATCCTTTGAGCCCCTAAATTAAAGGTTACAGTGAGCTCTGATCACACCACAGCACTCCAGCCTGGGTGACAGAGCAAGATCCTGTCTCTATTAAAAAAAAAAAAAAACAAAAAAAACAGGGAAGGAGAAGGGTTTGAGTCAGAGAAGGAGACATGATGATGGAAGCAGAAGATTACTGTCAGAGAGAAATGTGAAGATGCTACACTGCCAGTTTTGAAGATGGAGGAAGGGACCATGAGTCAAGTAACACAGGCGACTTCTAGCAGAAGCTGAAAAAGCAAAGAAATGGAGTTTCTCCTTGAGCCTCTGCAGGGAAAGCCCAGTGAAACCCATGTCGTATTTCTGACCTGCAGGACTGTAAGATAATAAATTTGTGTTGTTTTGAGCTAGTAAGTCTGTGATAATTTGTTAGAGCAGCAATAGGAAATGAATAGAGGCATCTTTGAGATATTCCACCATTGATAACCATCTGGTCTGTACTCAAACCACGTCCTTCTGAACTCTTCCCCTATCCATATCTATCTGACCTGACCTCAAACCCCAGCATTGTTAGTGATACCACCATCAAAGTCTTATCTGTGCTCTCCAACCTGGGGGTCTAAAATCAACCCCTGATTTTACCTTGAACTTGGGAATCTGTTATCCGTTCCACTATTAATGGGTTTTGATCTAGAGACAGAATTCAGGATTTTGAGGGTGGAAAATTAACAATTCCAGGTCTGTGTATTAAACTTGAGGGTCTGTTCACTTTTCCATTACCAGGGCAATTTACATGTGAATCTTTCTGCATATCTGTTAACTCCTTCCCCATTACTGGCCCTCAGGTCTTTTTTGTTTTTTTGTTTTTTGTTTGAGACAGAGTCTTGCTCTGTTGCCCAGGCTGGAGTAAAGTGACATCTTGGCTCACTGCAACATTCCCCTCCCAAGTTCAAGTGATTCTCATGCCTCAGCCACCTAAGTAGCTGGGATTACAGCCATGCACCACAGCGTCTGGCTAATTTTTGTATTTTTAGTAGAGACAGAGTTTCACCATGTTGGCCATGCTGGTCTCGAAGTCCTGGTTTCAAGTGATCTGCCTGCCTCGACCTCCCAAAGTGCTGGGATTACAGGAGTGAGCCACGGCGCCCGGCATCCCTCAGATCTTTACACTGACTGCAGGCCTCAGTTAAGTCCTCTCCAACTACGGTTCTTTGATGTGTACAGAAAATCAAAGCTGTGCTAACTCTTTAGCTATTTGTGCCCCTTCTCCTGTATTCCCCAACTCCAGTCCTCAGTTAATGGTTACTTTTATAGAGATGGAGTCTTACTATGTTGCCCAGGCTGGTCTTGATCTCCTGGGCTCACATAATCCTCCCGCCTCAGCCCCCAAAGTGCTGGGATTACAGGTGTGAGTCACTGTGCCCGGCCCTCAGTTAAACTTCTTTTAAATTTTTACTTTTTGAGATGGAGTTTTGCTCTGTTGCCCAGGCTGGAGTGTAGTGGCACGATCTTGGCTCACTGCAACCTCTGCCTCCCGGTTTCAAGCGATTCTCATGCCTCAGCCTCCCAAGTAGCTGGGACTACAGGTGTGCACCACCATACCTAGCTAGTTTTTGTATTTGTATTTATTTATTTATTTAGAGACAGAGTCTCACTCTGTTGCCCAGGATGGAGTGCAATGGCGCAATCTGGGCTCACTGCAACCTCTGCCTCTTGGGTTCAAGTAATTCTCCTGCATCAGCCTCCTGAGTAGCTGGGATTACAGGTATGCACCACCACTCCCAGCTAAATTTTGTATTTTTAGTAGAGACGGGGTTTCACTGTGTTAGCCTGGATGGTCTCGAACTCCTGGTCTCAAGTGATCCTTGAGACTGCCTTGGCCTTCCAAAGTGCTGGGATTATAGGCATGAGCCACCATGCCCAGCCATATTTTTTTGTATTTTTAGTAGAGATAGGGTTTTGCCGTGTCGGCCAGGCTGGTCTCTAACTCCTGGCCTCAAGTAATCCTCCCACCTTGATGTCCCAATGTGCTGGGATTATAGGCATGAGCCACTGTGTCCAGCCCTCAGTTAACATATTTATCATGAATGCTATTTGGTTTGACTTTGAAGTCAGGCCTTGATTAATTCTTCCACCATCATCCCCTTTGGTATAGGCAGTGAATTCTGGGCCTCTGTTAACTACACCACCTTTAATGGCTCTGTGATCTGTAGCTCAGACTTGGGTCTAAGTTAACCTTCCATTCAGGGCCTCTCTGAAATAACTTTGGAATTACTATTTCACCACCAGTGCCCCTCTGGTTTGATCTTCAAGCAGGGTATTTGTTAATGTTTTCTCTATCCATACACACTGGTAGAAGTCTTGAATCCTAGGACTTTCTTAAATATTGCAACCATCAGAGCTCCTGTTTTGTATAGAATATGAACCTTTGTGAACTCTGCAATCCTGTTCTGGGCTGACTTCCAATCCAGCCCTTTGTTAAGTCTTCTAAAACCAATGTCCCTTAGGTTTTACCTCGAACCTTTGACTCTATTAACTCTTAGTTTTGACATGGGCTGCAAAAGGCCATATAAGCCTACTCGAACTAAGGCGAGCATAAGTCCAGGCTGTGAATGACAGGCGAAGGCGGGCCCTTCCATGTTCAAAGGAGCCAATGGAGGACCGGGTGGGCAGTGAGTGACAGATGGGGCGGGTCCTATCGCCTAGAAGAAACAATAGGAGGGCGGGAGAGCGCCGAGGCCAGGGCGGGAGAGGTGGGCGGGTGTTTGTGAGCATCCTGAGTGGCTGCGTGATGTCAAAGGTCTCTTCCCTTTCTTCAGACGTTTTAGTAATCCGCTTCTGCAGAGGAACCCCGGGGGGTGCTCTGTCCGGCCTTTCCACTTTCCCCCTTCTCACCCGGCCGTGTCACCAATCACGCCTTTGCTCAGGCCGAGTCTTTTCTAGGGGCCGGGAACGCCAACTCACCCGCCCGGGACAGTCACGGCCCGTCCAAGCCTCACACTGCTTTCGTAGGACCAATTCTGAATACCCGAACTCGGAGATATCACGGGGACTCCCCCCAGACCCCCAAATGCACCTCTCCTTTGGCTGGAATGGGAGCCTCCAGAAGCAGAGCGAGGCCACGGCCAGAGACAGAGGTCCTGGCGCTGGCGGAATGACGCCATTTTTGTTACTGGTAGAGCTCCGCTTCGCGGCTGTTTCAGAACCAGCGAAAGGTAAGCTCCCGCGTCACCCTGACATCTTCCCGGGAGGACTAGAAGGCAAATGGCCTTTCAGGGGATGTTGTATGCATTTGGGCAGGCGGCGGGGGCGCCAAGCCCGGCTTGAGAGCAGAGCCGAGGTGAGGGGCCTGGCTGAGTGCAGCGGGTCTAAGTGATGAGTGTTGGATAGGTACAAGTGGAGGGGCTAAGGAGGGGACTGAGTGACGTGGAGAACAGTGATAGGGGAGTCTGTGGGACCACTGATAACGATATGTCGGTTACGCGATTGGAAGTTTGTAGGGTGATGGGGATCTGTGCGGTGTTTGACGATGTCTGTAGGGTGAGTGATGGGGCTTCTATGGGATGGGTGAAGGGAGTCTGGGGCGAGTGAGGGATGGTCTGTAGGGTGAGGGATGCTGGTCCCTGGGATGAATGGATCTGGGGATCCGGGTGAGGGATGAGAGTCTATGGGGACAACAATGGGAGTGTGTGGGGTCAATGTTGACATTCTGTGGGCTCCATGATGGGTGGCTCTTTCAGATTAATAATATGTCCGTGGATAAACAAAAATCTCTGCTCTTGTAGTGTCGACATTTCGATAGAGTGGTTTGATTTTTATTTCCCTCATGACCAGTAAGTTTGAGCACCCTTTCTTATATGGATTCATTACTTGGAGCGCCTCTTTTGTGAGGGGCCTGTTCAAGTCTTTGTTCATTTTTCTGTTGGGCTTTCTGCCTTTTTCTTACTGATTTGTAGGGTTTTTTTAAAAAAAAATATTATTATTATTATTATTTTATTTTGAGACAGAGTCTCGCTCTGTCACCCAGGCTAGAGTGCAGTGACATGATCTCGGCTCACTGCAACCACCTCCCGGGTTCTAGCAATTCTCCTACCTCAGTCTCCCCAGTAGCTGGGATTACAGTAGCTGGGATCACAGGCGTCCACCACCACGCCTGGCTAATTTTTTTGTATTTGTAGTAGAGACAGGGTTTGGCCATGTTGGCCAGGCTGATCTCGAACTCTTGACCTCAGGTGATACACCTGCCTTGGCCTTCCAAAGTGCTAGGATTACAGGTGTGAGCCACCTCACCCTGCCAGGAATTGTTTTTAAATATCCTGATACCACTCCTTTAGTAGTGGTATGTGTTTTGCAAATATCTCTTTCCAGTTTTTGGCTTCTCTTTTCATTTTATGGCTTTAAATATGAAGATTTTAAGTTAATTTTGAAATGTAAAGCACATTCTTCAGTTAAAAAACAGACAATATCCTGTGGAATTTAGGAGGAGAACTAATTTTTTAGGGCATCCAGAAGCAGTTAGAGTTGCAGCTCTGAAAATCTTAGTGCCAGGACAGCTTGGGAGGAGTTCTTTACTTTTAGTTCTTCTACCACCTCACTCTAAGTCACTGGCAGTGGATCTTGGACAACTCATGAAACCGCTCTAGGCCTCAGTTTCCCCACTGTGAAATGAGGATAATAGCAGGGCCTACTCTGTGAGGCTTGGGATGAGAAGTGAGTTAATAACTGATCGTTACCTATTCGCCATAGTTTTTTAGCATTGATGCACTGATTTTTTTATATATATCACAGATCTTTCTTGAACTCAGGGTTACTGCTGCTCATGTAATACCAAAGGCTGGTGAAGGAAATTAAATACCAAGGTTTTTGTTTTGTTGTTGTTTTTGTTGTTGTTTTTTAAGACGGAGTCTTGCTCTGTCACCCAGGCTAGAGTGCAGTGATGCCATCTCAGCTCACTGCAACCTCCACCTCCCGGGTTCAAGCGATTCTCCTGCCTCAGCCTCCTGAGTAGCTGGGATTACAGGCAAGTGCCACCACACCCGGCTAATTTTTGTATTTTTAGTAGAGACAGGGTTTCACCATGTCAGCCAGGCTGGTCTTGAACTCCTGACTTTGTGAGCCGCCTGCGTTGGTCTGCCAAAGTGTTGGGATTACAGGCGTTAGCCACCGCGCCCAGTCAGGAATAAGGTTTTGTTGGGTAGGATTGAGCTTTGGAGGGCCACAAACCATTGTAGTATCTAAGGTTTTTAACAACTAAGTTTTGACCCCTTGGGGACAGTATGTTTTTTTTTAGACAGGGTCTCTTGTCACCCAAGCTGGAGTTCAGTGGCATGATCTCAGCTCACTGCAACCTCCGCCTTCTGGGTTCAAGTGACTCTCCTGCCTCAGCCTCCCAAGTAGCTGAGACTACAGGTGTGTGCCACCACGCCCGACTAATTTTGTTTATTTTTTGTAGAAAGGAGGTCTCACTATGTTGCTCAGGCTGGCCTTGAACTCCTGGACTCAAGCATTCCTCCTGCCTTGGCCTCCCAAAGTACTGGGATGACAGGTGTGAGCCACCACCCCTGGCCTGTTACTCTGTTATTAAACAATTAGGAACATGTTCTTGTGTTCTGTCTTTTCTTCTTTTTACAGCAATATTTCCATGCCATTAACTTAATTTCCATAGTACTACTTAGATTATTTCTATGGTAATACTTAAATATAAACCTTTCATATAGAAATTTTCAAACATCCACAAAATAGAGGGAATTGTGTAATGGACCTCCATTATGCCCACCACCCAGTCTCATCAGTCATCAACTCACAGCCAGTCTTGTTTTATCTACATCAGGGGTTGGGAAACTGGGCAGTGGGCCAAATCTGACATGCTGCCTTTTTTTTTTTTTTTTTTAAATACAGCCATGAGCTGAGAATGGTTTTCATACTTTTTATCATTGGAAAAAAATTAAAAGGAGAATAATATTTTGTGACCCATGAAAATGATGTAAAATTCAAATCTCAGTGCCCCAAAATGATGTTTTATTGGAACACAGCCAGTGAGCACCTTTAGTTTACATATTGCATAGCACTACTTTCAACCTGCAATGGCAGGGCTGACTAGTTACAGCAGAGACCACAGACCCCACAAAATCTAAAACATTTACCATATGACTCTTTTACAGAAAAAGTTATTCAAGTACTCATCTAGGCCACCCTCTCACTTCTTCCTCCAGAATGCCCTTCCTTCCTTTCTTCCTTTCTTTCTTCCTTCCTTCCTTCCTTCCTTCCTTCCTTCCTCCTTCCTCCCTCCCTCCCTCCCTTCCTCCCTTCCTTCTTCCTCCCTCCTTCCCTCTCTCCTCCCTCCCTCCGTTCTTTCTTTCTTTCTTTCTTTTCTTTCTTTCTTTCTTTCTTTCTTTCTTTCTTTCTTTCTTTCTTTCTTTCTTCCTTCCTTCCTTCCTTCCTTCTTTCTTTCTTTCTCTTTCTTTCTTTCTTTCTTTCTTTCTTTCTTTCTTTCTTTCTTTCTTTCTTTCTTTCTTTCTTTCTCTTTCTCTCTCTTTCTTTCCCTCCCTGCCTCCCTTCCTTCTCTTGCTCATTGCCCAGGCTGAACTGCAGTGGCTCAATCTTGGCTCACTGCAAACTCCACCTCCTGGGTTCAAGTGATTCTCATGTCTCAGCCTCACTAGTAGCAGGGATTACAGGCGCCACCACCATGCCCGGCTAATTTTTTATTTTTAGTAGAAACGGATTTTACCATGTTGGCCAGGATGGTCTCAAACTTCTGGACTCAAGTCGTTTGCCCACCACAGCCTCCCAAAGTGCTGGGATTACAGGTGTGTGCCACCACACTAGGCTAATTTTTTGTATTTTTCATAGAGATGGAGTCTCTCTATGTTGCCTAGGCTGGTCTTGAACTCCTGGGCTCAAGCAATTTGCCTGCCTCCGTCTCCCAACATGCTAGGATTACAGGTGCGCACCAACGTGCCCAGCTGATTTTTGCATTTTTTAGTAGAGATGGGGTTTCGCCATGTTTCCCAGGGTGGTCTCCAATTCCTGAACTCAGGCAGTCCACCCACCTTGGCCTCGCAAAGTGCTGGCCCACTGTGCCCAACCTGTATATAGTTCAATGACTTTTTACATGTGTAGTCTTTATTATTTTGAAACAAATTCCAGACACATCATTTCACCTAGACACGCTTCATTATGTAAAAAATAAAGCCTTAAAGGTCGATTTTGTTACCCTAAGGTAAAATAATTAACGATAGTATCTTCAGATAATCAATGGTTAAATTCCTTAATATTATCAAATATCTAATTGGGGTTCAAACTCTCATGATTATGTAAAATTTTCTTTTGTCTGTTCAAATTAAGACCCAGACAAGACCATACTTACATTTGCTGGCAATGTTTCCTTAGCCTCTTTTAATCATCTAGAGTGTTGCTTTTTACCTGCCTTTCCAGCCTTTGGAGCTTCCATAATTAATTTTCCCATTCTTTAGTGCTGGGCATTTATGTTATTTTCAATAATAATGATGTTAAAGACAAAACTGTGTTGAAGGTTTCTGAGGTTAAATATCTGTACGCATCCATGATTATTACCTTAGGACAAAGTTCCAGAAATGGAGTTACCGGCTCAGATGAGAAACACAAGTCACCGATGAATTAACAAGCAACACATTGTCACATCCAGCTGTTTAAGAGTGGTTAACTCAGCTTCAGCTCTGAAGACTCTTTGCACTCTGCCCCACCCCCAATTGCTTTCCAAAGAGAAACAAAAAATGATTGAGTCCCAGGTAAGTTACTTGTTTGCCACTGGTTTTCCCACAACAAAATGGGAAAGGGCAATTAGTTGAAAATAAGGATTAGAGAAATTTAGAGAGAGTAGAAGATCAACAGGAAAAATTGCTGTGAAGATACGCAGATCATCTGGTCTTACTTCATAGAAACTGAGCTAAACATTTTGACTATGAGCCTCCTGGCAGCTCCAGTGAAAAGGTTAACATCACATGATCAGTTACGTGATCTTCATTCTCCACAAAGAGAAATCAGTCCAGCTCCTTAGCAAGTCAAAATTTCTGGGACTTTAACCTAAGAAATTTTGTTACTGAGTTTTCCTGAAGGTCAGTGGTCTTCAGTTCAGGGTGGCATTGTCAGTAGTAGTTCTAAAGAGACTGTTATTAAAGTTCTCTGGCAGGGGTTTGGAGAGTGGGAGAGTTTCCTGGTTTATGGCTGCTTTACTGTCATCTCAGAGTTTGTGGGGTCTCGACCAAACTCAAGGCCAGTTCTTTCTCCGCTCCTCCAGTTTCAGTCTGTTTTTTTTTCCCCCTCCCTGCAAAGGTAATCTGATACATGGGGCAAAGAACATAAACAATATAGTTAAAAAAAAAAAAAAAAAGAAAGTGAAATATCTCCAACCTCACCTCTGCCTCCTTCCCTGGCATAACTAGCATTATCTGGTTTGAGGAGGATCTCTTTTCTTTATGCATGTATAACTCCATCTATGTGTGTAGATGCATGTGTCAGTGTGTGAAAGTGATCTTATTATTGTCACGCATTTTTTCTTTACCACACACAAAAAATACACACACTGTTTCTGTTCTTTTCTGCAACTTTCTTTTCTCCTAAAATTTAGTTTTTTCTTTCTTTTCTAAAAATTTAGTTTTTGTACATTTTATTATGGAACATTTTGATTTTAAACATATACGAAAGTAGACATTTTAGTGAACCCCTTTGTAATTACCCATCTGCAAATATTATCAACTGATAGCCAAGCTTGTTTTATCTGTCTTTTATCCCCACCCACTCTTATCATCATCATCATCATCATCATCATGATCTAGCCAATCCCTTGTTAATATTTTGTTTAGGGTTTATACTACTATGTTTATGAGACATAGGGGCCTATAATTTTACTTTCTTGTATTGTTCCTGTCACATTTTGACAACCTGTTACATTGGCCTCATGTTGGAAAGTATTCTCTTTATATTCTCTGGGAAAATTTGGGTAATATTGTTATTATTTCCTTCTTAAAATTTTTTTTTGAGATGGAGTTTCACTCTTGTCATCCAGGCTGCAGTGCAAAGGAACAGTCTCAGCTCACTGTAACCTCCACCTCCCAGGTTCAAGTGATTCTCCTGCTTCAGTCTCCCAAGTAGCTGGGATTACAGGTGCCTGCCACCATGCCCAGCTAACTTTTGTATTTTTAGTAGAGGTGGGGTTTCACCATGTTGGGCAGGCTGGTCTTGAACTCCTGACCTCAGGTGATCCACCCACCTCAGCCTCCCCAAGTGCTGGGATTACACGTGTGAAGAGTTCCCCAGTGAAGCCATCAGGATATGGAATTTTCTTTGTGGGAAGGTTTTAAATGATATATTCAATTCATTTAAAATATATACTACCATTCAGATTTTCGATTTCTTTTTATGTCCGGTTTGGTAAATTGTAATTTTCAAGTGTTTTGTCTAGTTCATCTAAGTCAGGGGTCAGCAAACTTTTTCTGCAGAGGGACAGACAGAAGTATCTGAGGCTTTATGGGCCATACCGTCCCTGTTGCAACTATTCAAATCTGTTCAGGTAGAAAGCAGCTATCGACAATATGTGAACCAATGAGCTTGGCTGTGATCCAATAACACTTTATTATGGACACTGAAGGTTGGATTTCATATAATTTTCATATGTCACAAATATTATTCTTCTTTTGACTTCTTTTCAATCATTAAAAATGTAAAAACTGGACCAGGTGCAGCTACTCACACCTGTAATCCCAGCACTTTGGGAGGCCAAGTTCTAGAGACGGGAGTTCTAGACCGGCTTGAGCAACATGGCAAAAACCCATTTCTACAAAAAAATACAATAATTAACCGGGCATGGTGACACGCACCTGTGGTCCCAGCTACTCATGAGGCGGATGTGGGCAAATCACTTGAGTCCTGGAGGAGGAGGTTGTAGTGAGTCAAGATTGTTCCAGTGCACTCCAGCTTGGGTGATAGAGCAAGGCAGTCTCAAAAGAAAACGTGTAAAACCAGTTTAGCTTGCAGGCCATTGAAAAACACATGATGGGCTAAATTTGGCCTGCAGGCCATAGTTTGCTGTCCTCTAATCTACATTGTCAAATTAATGTCCATTAAATATCCATTTAATGTTTGCAGGATACCAGAACCTTGTTGTTGGGCTGTAAAATAGTTATTTCTAAAATATACAATAGTGGTTGGGCATGGTGTCTCATGCCTGTAATCCCAGCACTTTGGGAGGCCGAGGCGGGTGGATCACCTGAGGTCAGGAGTTTGAGACCAGCCTGGCCAACATGGTGAAACCCAGTCTCTCTAAAAAAAAAGCATATAATATGCAATAGTAATAGTAATAATGAGAATCATAGCTACTATTTGCCCAGTGCTTACCATGTGCTAGGCACTGCTATTAATAAAATATAATGGAATTAACTCATTTAATTTACCCAGGAACCCTCTGTGCTAGGTACCATTGTTATTCCCATTTTTCAGATGAAGAAAGTGAGGCACAGAGTTCACACAGCTAGTACATGGCCTAGTCAGGACTCTAAAGCAGTGAAGTCACAAATAAAATGACCTTATAAAGACATCTTTTTATATTCGTGAAGTATTTATGTAGGCCACAGTCTTCGACATGAGTGTGCTAGGTCAGAGGCACACATGTTCATAAATTTAAAGACTATTTTTCAAATTATATATATGTATTTTTTGAGACAGAGTCTCACTCTATTGCCTAGGTTGGAGTGCAGTGGTGTGATCTCAGCTCATTGCAACCTCGGTGTCCCAGGTTCAAGCAATTCTCCTGCCCCACCCTTGTGAGTAGCTGGAATTACAGGTGCCCGCCGCCACACCTGACTAATTTTTGTATTTTTAGTAGAAACGGGGTTTCACCATGTTGATCAGGCAGGTCTTGAATTCCTGACCTCAGGTGATCCGCCTGCCTTGGCCTCCCAAAGTGCTGGGATTACAGGCCTGAGCCACCGTGCCTGGCCCAAATTGTATTTCAATACTGTGTAATCAGCTTACACATGTGACCACAAATTGTTTACAAGAAAGCCCACCTATTTCCAGTGTTCCCCCTCCCTCCTGCCACCATTAGCCATCATCTGTATTTTTCTTTCCTGTTACTTTTATGAGTAAGTATTATATCTCATTTTCATTTGCTTTTCTTTAGCAATTAAATAAGATTCAGCATCTTTTCACATATTTATTTTCCATTTTGTATTTCTCTGTGAATCCCTCTTTCCTTGTCTTTGCTTATTGTTTTCCAGGAGCTTTTTGTATATGAATGATCTTGAAGTGCACATTGCAAACCTTTTTTTTTTTTTTTTTTTTTTTGCCAGATGGTGATTTCTCTCTCAACCTTTTTGTCTGTCTCCCCTCACCAGAATATAAACTCCTTCAGGGAAGGTGTTTTTGCCAGTTTTTTTCCTGCTGTATCCCCAGTTCCTACAATCACGAGGTACTCAATAACCACTTGCTGAGTGAATGAATGTTTTTTTTCCACTTAACGTTATCTTAGATATTGTGGCATATCAATTAATGTAGAGCTTCCTTGGTGCTTTTTTTTTTTTGAGGCAAGGTTTCACGCCAGTTGCCAGGATAGAGTGCAATGGCACTATCTTGGCTCACTGTGGCCTTGACCTCCCAGGCTCAGGTGATCCTCTCACCTCAACCTTCCTAGCTGGGACTACAGGCATGTGCCACCATACCTGGCTAACTTTTTGTAGAGATAGGAGTTTTTGCCATGTTACCCAGGCTGGTTTTTTTGTTTGTTTGTTTGTTTGTTTGTTTGTTTGTTTGAGACAGAGTCTCATTCTGTCACCCCGGCTGGAGTGCAGTGGCATGATCTCGGCTCACTGCATTCTCCACCTCCTGGATTCAAGCAATTCTCCTGCCTCAGCCTCCTCCCAAGTAACTGGGACTACAGGCATGCATTACAACGCCCAGCTAATTTTTGTATTTTTAATTGAAACAGGGTTTTGCCATGTTGGCCAGGCTGGTCTCGAACTCCTGACCTCAAATGATCCACCCGCCTAGGTCTCCCAGAGTGCTGGGATTACAGGCGTGAGCCACCACATCTGTCCCCTTCCCTGTTGCTTTTTATAATTGCATATAGTATTCCCTTACGGGGATTGTAGCATCATTTATTCATCCAATCTCCCATGAGGTTGTTTCCATTCTTTTGCTATTATAAATAAATAATACTGTAGAGCAGTGTCTTCACATATGTCATTTGGTCACATTTATGAATATTTATGTAGAATAACTTCAGGAAACCAAATTGCAAGTCAGAGGATGTGTACATTATAAATTTTGATAGGTATTGCCAAATTAATTGCCTTCAAAATATACTGTATACCACAGACAATTTGAGTATGCATTTCTTGACATCTTCACTAACTTACACTAAGTCATTGTGACTTCTCCCACAGTCTTAGCATTTGATCGGTGACTTATCAAATGCCCACCTTTGATAATATGTAAGGGAAAAATGGTGTCTTGTTTTAGTTTACATTTATCTTCATGTGAGTGAAGTTGAGCATCTTTTTACATGTTTAAAAAACATTTGCATTTTCTTTTCTGTGAATTGATTGTCATGTCCTTGATCATCGTTTTAGTCTGTTCTCATGCCAGTATAAAGAAATACCCAAGACTGGGTAATTTATAAAGGAAAGTGGTTTAATTGATTCAGTTCCACATGACTGAGAAGGCCTCAGGAAACTTACAATCATGGCGGAAGGGGAAGCAAGGACCTTATTCATATGGTGGCAGGAGAGAGAAGTGCCAGCAAGGGAAATGCCAGACACTTATAAAACCATCAGATCTTCAGAGAACTCACTCACTATTATGAGAACAGCATGGGGGAAACTGTCTCCATGATTTAATCACCTCCCTCCTTTGACAAGTGGGGATTGCAATTTGAGATGAGATTTGGGTGGGGACACAGAGCCAAACCATATCAGCCATTTAAAAAAAAAGTTCTTGGTCTTTTTCTTCTTGCTTTGTAGGAGCTTTCTCTATATTTGGAAGAAATTAGCTTTTTGTCCATCCTACCTGTTGCATGTATAATTTTTCCCTAGTTAGTCATGTCCTTTGAGTTTATTTATGATCTGTTTTGCCATGTAACACATAAAGTAGTCACATTTATCAGTGTTTTCGCTTGTGGCATCTGGGTTTTGGGACATGCTTAGAAGAGTCTTCTCCACTCAAAGATTATTTTTTAAAACCTCTCCTGTCTTTATTATTATTTTTATTTATTTATTTATTGCATTTTAGGTTTTGGGGTACATGTGAAGAACATGCAAGATTGTTGCATAGGTCCACACGTGGCAGTGTGATTTGCTGCCTTCCTCCCCTTCACCTATATCTGGCATTTCTGCCCATGCTATCTCTCCCCACCTCCCCACACCCCCGTCCCTCCCCCATTTCCCCCCAGCAGACCCCAGTGTGTAATGCTCCCCTCCCTGTGTCCATGTGTTCTCATTGTTCAACACCCGGCTATGAGTGAGAACATGCAGGGTTTGATTTTCTGCTCTTGTGTCAGTTTGCTGAGAATGATGGTTTCCAGGTTGATCCATGTCCCTACAAAGGACACGAACTCATCGTTTTTTATGGCTGCATAATATTCCATGGTGTATATGTGCCACATTTTCCCTGTCCAGTCTATCATTGATGGGCATTTGGGTTGGTTCCAGGTCTTTGCTATTGTAAACAGTGCTGCAATGAACATTCGTGTGCACGTGTCCTTATAGTAGAACGATTTATAATCCTTTGGATATATACCCAGTAATGGGATTGCTGGGTCAAATGGAATTTCTATTTCTAGGTCCTTAAGGAACCGCTACACTGTCTTCTACAATGGTTGAACTAATTTACACTCCCACCAACAGTGTAAAAGTGTTCCTATTTCTCCACATCCTCTCCAGCATCTGTTGTCTCCAGATTTTTTACTGATCGCCATTCTAACTGGCGTGAGATGGTATCTCAATTTAGTTTTGATTTGCATTTCTCTAATGTCCTGTCTTTATTTTATAGTTTCTCTTTTTTCATTTAAATTTTTGTCATATCTTGAATTTCTTTTTGTGTTTAGTGTGATGTAGGAAATCCAGTTACATTTTTTGTTTCTGCTATCTCCCCAGTTTTGAATAATCTGTTTTTCCATATCTGTTTAAAATGCTACCTTTATTATGTATTAAATTTCTCGTTTTTATTTGTATCTATTTCTAGACTGCTCTGTTCCACTAACTATTCTTGCTAATGGCAGGATTTTGCATTGTTTCTATCATAAAGTATGCTAGGCAAAGTGCAAAGTAGGCATTCTATATGTATTGCTATGGTAAAAATCACCAGAACAAGAGATTGTACAGGAATATTCTCTTATAGGAACCAGTGACATTTGAGGATGTGGCTGTGGACTTCACCCAGGAAGAGTGGCAGCAGTTGAATCCTGCTCAGAAGACGCTGCATAGGGATGTGATGCTGGAGACCTATAGTCATCTGGACTCTGTGGGTAAGGGCAGATTTCCTTTGTACCAACGAATCAAATCCTACTCATCCTTCTTTAGGGTTGTCAATATCATGACCTTTATGATATTCCTTTAACAGAATGTGTTCTTTTACAGTATTCATTTTTCATGTTTATACTTTTGTTATATCTAGAATTTATTTTTGTGTTGTGGTGTGAGTTAAGGATCCAACTTGGCTGGGAGGTCCCTGCAAGTGCTTCTCTTCATGAATTTCGGAGCTGCCAAGGCCAAAGCCACTACAATTTTCTCTTAACAGGGTGTTCAGGTATAAAACCAGATGTAATCTTTAAGGTGGAACACAGAAAGGACCCATGGATCAAAGACAGTGAGTTGTCAAGGTGGATCTACCCAGGTAAGTGAGAATTGGGTAGCTGGTCAAGAGGGGATCTTCTTCTTCCTTGACATCAGTTTCCTTCTTTCTTCCTTAAAATGTATCAGGCCTCCTTTATAACATTCATTCTACAACAGCCACCTTCCTAGTATCTCTGTTCATTGCCAACTGTTTGTGTGTGTGTGTGTGTGTGTGTGTGTGTGTGTGTGTGTGTGTCTATTTGATTTTGCCTCTTTCTTCTTCCTTCAGACAGACAGAAAGGCCTTAAATCTTCCCAGCAGATCATTTCTGGAGAACTTTTATTTCAAATGGAAATACTAGAAAGAGCCCCAGAGGATAATTTACTGTACTCTGTTTTAAAAATCTAGCATATTGATAATCAAATAGATAGACATCAAGGAAACCAAGACAGAGTTTTGAGGCCAGTCACAGTCATCAGCCATGAAACACTGACTGAGGAGACAGATTCCAAATATAGTGCATTTGGGAAAATGTTCAATAGGTGCACAGACCTTGCTCCTTCAAGTAAAAAATTTGGTAAGTTTGATTCATGTGAAAATAGCCTGAAGTCCAGTTCAGATTTACTAAATTTTAACAGGAGCTATGCAAGAAAGGACCCTATTGAGAGATTTGGATGTGGGAGACCACCTAGCTATAATGCTTCCTCTTCTGTACCTGAGAAGGAAGGCTTCATTCATACTGAATGGAGCCCTGTGGAGATAGTCAATGTGAAGAAGTTCTCAGTCATAAGCAAGTTCAAGCCAGAGAGAAACCCAATGTTTGTAGTATGTATGGGAAAGGCTTTATCAAGAAGTCACAGTTCATTATACATCAAAGAATTCACACTGGAGAGAAACCATATGTATGTGGAGATTGTAGGAAAGCTTTCAGTGAGAAATCAAACCTCATTGTACATCAGAGGATTCATACTGGGGAGAAATCCTATGAAAGTACTGAGTATGGAAGGGCATTCTCCCAGAAGTCACCTTTCATTGTTCATCAGAGAGTCCACACTGGAGAGAAACCCTCTGAATGTTTTGAGTGTCGAAAAGCTTTCTCCCAGAAGTCGCATCTATTTATTATTATTATTTTCATTTCTTTTTAGTCACATCTAATTACACATAAGAGAGTTCATATGAGAGAGAAGCCCTTTGAATGCAGTGAATGCAGGAAAGCCTTCTGTGAGACATCTCACCTTTTTATACACCGGATAACTCATACTAGGGAGAAACCCTGTGAATGTACCGAATGTGGGAAGACCTCCCCTCGGCAAACACAGTTTATTATACATCAGAGAACGCATACTGGAGAGAAGCCCTATAAGTGTAGTGTATGTGGGAAAACTTTCTGCCAACAGTCCCACCTCATAGGACATCAAAGAATTCATACAGGAGAAAACCCTTATGTGTATACTGACTGTGGGAAGGCCTTTTCTCAGATCTCACACCTCACTGGCCATCAAAGGCTTCATACTGGAGGGAAACCTTATATGTGTACTGAATGTGGAAAATCCTTCTCTCAGAAATTACCTCTTATCATACACCAGAGAATTCATACAGGGGAGAAACCTTATGAGTGTGGTGAATATGGCAAAATCTTCTCCCAGAAATCACCCCTCATTATTCATCAGAGAGTTCACACAAGGGAGAAGCCCTATGAGTGTACTGAGTGTGGGAGGGCCTTTTCCCTGAAGTTACATCTCATTCTACATCAGAGAGCTCATACTGGAGAGAAACCCTATGAGTGTAGTGAACGTGGAAAAGCCTTCTGTGAGAAGTCTCCACTCATTATACATCAGAAAACTCATCTTAGGGAGAAATCCCCTGAATGTGCTGAGTTTGGAATGACTTTTTTCCGGAAATCACAGATGATTACACATCAGAGAAGACACACTGGGGAGAAGCCCTCCAGATGCAGTGACTGTGGGAAGGCCTTCTGCCAACATGTATGCTTCACTGGGCATCAGAATCCATATAGGAAACATGCCTTGTATATATGCTGATTGTGGGAAGGCCTTTTCCCAGAAGTCAGTCCTCATTGTGCATGGGAAAACTCACATTAAGGAGAAATGGTGGCAACTTCTCAACTGTAGAATAGACTCATATGTTCCTCAGTACATACGATCTTCCTTCCACAGAATGATCTGGTTAAGCCCTCGGAATGCTTTCAACACCATAAATATGGAATCGACTTGCTCACCCTCAAACTATCTCAGCCCCTTTCACAGAATAAATATATCTGGAAGAATTAGCACTACGTTGGTGTTGTCTGGTCCTTAAATGCTTTATAGAATTCTCCTGTGAATTTATTTGGGCATGGTGCATGATTTGAAGGGTATCTGTTTGGCATCTTTCTCTATTTCTTCCATCATATTTTTCTGTTTAGATTATATATGCACTTATTTATTTATTTAGAGACGGAGTCTCACTCTGTTACCCAGGCTGGAGCACAGTGGTGTGATCTCAGCTCACTGCAACCTCCGCCTCCTAGGTTTGAGTGATTCTCCTGCCTCAGCCTCTCGAATAGCTGGGATTACAGGTACGCACCACCAGGCCTGGCTAATTTTTTCATTTTTGGTAGAGATGTGGTTTTGCCATGTTGGCCAGACTGGTCTCGAACTCCTGACCTCAGGCGATCTGCCCACCTCAGCTTCCCAAAGTGCTGTGATTACAGGCATGAGCCACAGCACCTGGCCTTCATATGCATTTAGATTGAGATATTGATATATCAATACATAGATGTAGAAATATGGACTGTAATTTTTAAAAATCAGGTATTTTCTCAAGGTTTTTAATATTTTTGCATCATTTTGCGTAAAGTAGTCTCATGATTAATTTCCTTTATATCTGTGGCTATTTCTCCAACATAGTTCTCATAGAGTGTATTTGTGATTTTTTCCCCTCAATTAGGTAAACAAATGCTAATATTTTATTTCTTTTACTCTTCCTCACCTGTATTGCCGTTCTTAGATTTTCGCCATTTTCTATTTTCTAATTATTCGTTTGTGCTTTTATTTCACTAAAATCCTTCCATCTGCTTTTAAATTTTTTCTTTTTCTAACTTCTTTAGTTTAATATCTAATTAAATTAATCTATTTTTCTGGTTTATTATGGGTATATTTGGATTATGTATCTTAATCTGAGAACTTCTTTAGACATTGTGGTCCAATCTGAGAGTATTCTGCTTTTTAATAGGCAAATCCTATTGTTTAGCCCAATTTTGTTTATAGGTATGACAGATCTATTTGGTCTTAGGACTCCCAGCATATTTCCTGTTGTACATCCTGTTTTCATTGCTTTTTTGTCTTTTTACCCTTCATCATGTGGTCCTGATGTCATTTGTACTGTTTTGAATGTGTTACTTTGTTCCAGGGTATAACAAAGACAGGGAGTCTCCCAAAGGGTTTTCTGGAAGCTAAGCATAATCCGGATATCCTTAATCTTGAAAATCCATAATACCTGAAAGGTGAGATTTTAAGCCGCAAAAAAGCATGATGGTAGGCCAGTGGCTATAAATGTTCAGAGGACATCTTTACCTTTCTACTCAGTGCCAAGATTTTAGATGAATGATTCTCTTATCATTTATCTCTGTTCACTTTGTACCTCTACAGCAGAATGCCTGGGACTGGTAGTTTATGAAGCATAGAAGTTTATTTCTTAGTATTCTGGAGGCTGGGAAGTCCAAGATCAAGGCACTAGCATTTGGGTTGGTGAGGGCCTTCTTGCCATGTTCTCACATGGCAAAAGGCAGAAGGGCAAGCTAATAAGCTAGTGAGCTAACTGAACACTTCATGAATCTTCTTAATCTTCTTTTAAAAGGGCATTAATCCATTAGGGAGGGATCAGTCCTTGTGGCCCAATCACCTCTTAAAGGCCCCACATCTTAATACTAGTGCAGTGGCAGCATCTGAATTTTGGAGGGACACATTCAAACCATAGCACAGTCCCTTGGGCAGAGGTGTTTTTATTTCAGGCTTATTCTTTCACTGAAACTAAAGCCATTTTTGTTCCCAAATTTGTGTCAGCAGTCTTTACCCACCTTGAGCAGGTCATGCTCTTGAGAATTGCAGCTTCAGTAATCTTGGTTTGGCAGATACTCTCAAAGTGAAGGGGTATCAATAGTGGATGCTATGGTCTGAACATTTGTATACTCCCCAAATTCATATTTTGAAACCTAATTACCAATGAAAATAGTTCCTGTTTTGTGGAGACATGGGTAATAAAAGGTGATATATATATAGAGAGAGATACATGGTTTTGCTGTGTGTGTGTTTCTGTGTGTATAAGTATTCATCCTCTGGTGATGGTATGGATGAAAGTAAACCAAGATATGGAACAAGGAATCACCTGTGGATATGGGGTGGGCAGTAAACAAAGTCTGTTAGGATCTGTTTCAAGTCAGATCATCATGTCTAGGTTGGTTTGGGAATCAGAAGTTAGATTATGGAGGATTTTCCTTGTCCATTTATAGAGGCTTTTCCTTTCCTAATGTTTACCTATTTATGTTGTTTACATATTTTTCTCCACATGTAGATCATATTTGTAGGGAGAAAAAAATAATAAAGACTTTTAGTGGAAGAGTGTAGGAGAAGGAATTTGCCTTGATTTGGGCACGAACTCACAAACAGAGACAATAGCAAAGAAGCCATGGAAAACCAGGAAATCCCACTCTCTGCTCTGCAAGCATCTACCAGAAAAATTTAAAAACAGTTTCATTGGGAGAATCCTGAGTTGAAAATCACTACTGACTTTTAGAAAGAACCAACAATCACATTTCTTAGGCTGAAGTGCCTGGATTTTTTTTTTTTTTTTTTTTTTTTTTTTTTTTTTTTTGAGACAGAGTCTCTCTCTGCCGCCCAGGTTGGAGTTTAGTGATGTGACCTTGGCTCACTACAACCTCCACCTCCCAGGTTCAAGCGATTCTCCTGCCTCAGCCTCCCGAGTAGCTGGGATTACAGGTGCATGCCACTATGTCTGACTAATTTTTTGTATTTTTAGTAGAGACAGTTTTCACCATGTTAGCCAGGTTGATCTCGAACTGCTGACCTCAGGTAATCCACCTGCCTTGTTCTCCCAAAGTGCTGGGATTAAAGGCGTGAGCCACCACACCCAACCTGGAAATTTTTACTTCCTAAGAAGTTGATTTATTTTCTCTTTATGGAGAATGAAATCATGTAGCTGATGATGTTTGCCCCTTTCACAGACAAATGTGCAGTTTATATAAAAGTAAATTTATATGAGCCATTAATCTCACTCTCTCTCTCTTTTTTTTTTTTTTTTTTTTTTTAGACAGTCTCCCTCTGTCACCCAGGCTGGAGTGCAGTGACGTAATCTCAGCTCACTGCAACCTCTGCCTCCTGGGTTCAAGCAGTTGTCCAGTCTCAGCCTCCTGAGTAGCTGGGATTATAGGTGCCTACCACCACGCCTGGCTAATTTCTGTATTTTCAGTAGAGACGAGGTTTCACCATGTTGGGCAGGCTGGTCTTGAACCTGATGGCTAGCCTGGTCTGGAATTTATTAATCTCTTTATTCTCTCTAAATTTCTCTGATGCCTGTTTTTCAATTATTTTCCTTTTTCTGTTTTGTCATGTGGAAAACCAAATAGGGAATCCTGTGTTGGGGGACCTCTAGATGACTCTCAGACTTGATAATTTACTAGAAGAACTCACAGAACTCAGAAAAATTGTTGTATTCATGGCTATGGTTTATTATAGCTAAAGATACAGATTAAACCAGCAAAGAAAAAAGGTGCATTAGAGCAGAGTTCAGGAGAAACCAGGTAGAAGCTTCCAGTTATCCTCTTTGAGTAGAGTCATGTGAATAGCACTTAATTTTCCCAGCAATGATATGTGACAACATGTATAAAGTATAGCCAACCAGGGAAACTCACCTGAGTCTTGCTGGCTAGGGTTTTTTATTGGGGGTCAGTTCTGTAGGCATGGAATGTCCATATGACTTGACCTTAGCCACTTAGACCCCAGCCTGCCAGAAGTCGAAGTGATATAATGTGACCCAAAGTCCCAAGCATACAAAAATACGCATTTATATAGATCACATTGTTAGCATAAACTATTTGTCTTGCTCCAAGATTTCAGGTATACAAAGAGACTCTTATCAGGCAAGATATTCCAAGTGCTCAGAGATTATTTCTTAGGAATTGGTCCAGGGTCAATTCTAAAGACATTTGAAATGTGCAGGGTTTGGGCAGCCTAGGCCTGCTGAGTTAACACTTTACTGCAAAGTCCACTCTTCTGGCCCTTGGCCTAGGCTCTTTTACAGCAAAATGATAAAATTTGTCTGAGCATCTACATTTAGTTTAGTATTTAATACAGCATATACTAGACATAGCAATAGTATCTGTTTGCATATTCCTAACATTTGGAAGAGCCAGTGTAGGGTAGGGGTAGATTTAAATAGACAACAAATCCATCTTACAAAACCGTTACATTTCATACTAATTTGATTATTTATTTATTTAGAGACACAGTCTTGCTCTATTACCCAGACTGGAGTGCAGTGGCAAGATCTTGGCTCACTGCAACCTCTGCGTCCTGGGGTCAAGCGATCCTCCCACTTCAGCCTGCCAAGTAGCTGGGACTACTGGCATGTGGTACCATGCCCAGCTAATTTTTGTATTTTTTTGTAGAGACGAGGTTTCAATATGTTGCCCAGGCTGGTCTCAAACTGCTGAGCTCAAGCAGTCCACCTGCTTCAGCCTTCCAAAGTACTGCGGATCCCAAAATGTTGGGATCCCCATAACAGGGTTAGATGATTGGTAATCACATCTAGATGTAATTTAGTCTGAGTATGACATAAGGACTCACATAGCCTTCCTCATCTCAGGGTGGGACATTTCCCTAGGGAATTCAAGCCTACCACCTGATGTCTACTGCTTTAATCCTATGGAAAACCCATTTTTTTTTTTCCTGTTCTGGTTAATATTAGGTTGGTGCAAAAGTAATTGCGGTATTTGCCATTACTTTTAATGTAATGTAAAACGGCAATATTTTGCGCCAACCTGATAACTTTCCATCCACAAAACAAGAGTGATATACATTTGTGCATGGCTAACTGGAGCATGTCGGATACGCTGCTGCTATATTTTGTCTCTTTTAACCAGGGACCTCTCTAAGCATTCTATCATTAAGGTCTATAGTTACACAGTAATCAGTCTGCTGGGACTTTTATACCATGCAGTCTGACAGCCTGGCAGGGTGTAGCTCCTAGAAATTCCTTCCTAAATATCTTTTTTTTTTTGGGGGGTGGGGGGACAGAGTCTTGCTCTGTTGCCAA